CTCAGTCTCTTAAATAGCACCTTCTCAGAGTGGATCAACCAGTTTTGCTGCTGACAACCAAAACCAGCTGATCACATGCTCAAGAAGGACCATCAGCCTAACAATGGATCATTAGCACACTGATTGCTGTGTACTATTCACAGAGGGCTGAGTGATACTAGCAATCACAGCATTGTAAGAGGGGGACAATTGAACACGTAGGCCTCCACCCCTGTTTAACGATGGACGGTTTCTTTTCACAAAGATGGCCTCTTTTACTCCTCTCTCAAACCATCGTTCCTCTCTATCCAGGATGTGAACATCTTCATCCCTGAAAGAGTGACCGCTGGCCTGGAGATGAGTGTAGACTGCAGAGTCCTGGCCTGATGATGTTGATCTTCTGTGCTGGGCCATCCTAGCTGCCAACTAAAGGGATGAGTACAGACACCAGATATTTGGAAACATTTTAAGTGACAGAGTTAATCATGCTAACAGCTCAGAACACCACGGACTTTGTGGATAAGGTGAGGGATGTCATCATGGAGACTGATGAAACAATGGTCTCTTTTGATGTCACATCACTCTTTATGTGCATTCCTGTTGATGATGCAGTAGAGGTGGTCAGTTTAAAATTAAAATCAGACACCACTCTGAGCAGCAGTACCACGCTTTCCACAGATCAACTGTGTCAACTCTTGAAACTGTGCCTGCAGTCAACCTACTTCACATATGGGGAGCAATATTATAGGCAGAAACATGGGTGTGCTATGGGGTCTCCAGTTTCTCCTATTGTTGCCAACCTGTACATGGAGGAGGTAGAAAAGAGAGCCTTGACATCCTTTTCAGGGACACCACCAAGTCATTGGTTCAGGTATGTTGACGACACCTGGGTTAAAATTAAATCTCAGGAAGTCCAACATTTTACTGACCACATCAACTCTGTGGATAAATACATCAAGTTCACACGAGAAGATGAAAAAAATGGCAAGTTGGCTTTCTTGGACTGTGAGGTCTCAGTCTCTGATAGAGGACATTTGCAAACTGAGGTGTACCGCAAACCCACCCACACAGACCAGTATTTGCAGTTTGACTCCCATCACCCTTTGGAGCACAAGTTAGGAGTCATCAGGACTCTGTATCACAGAGCAGACAGCGCCCCCACTAGCTCAGGAGCCAGGCAGAAGGAGAAATCCCACACAAGACAGGCTCTAGAGCAATGTGGATATCCTAACTGGGCCTTCCTAAAAGCAGAGAAGAAACCCAAACAGGACTCCAGTCAGCCAACAGGTGAAAAGGAGGAACCCAGACCAGTGGTCATTCCATATGTTGAGGGAGTATCAGAGAAACTGAGACGTTTATTTTCTAAACATAACGTCCCAGTGGCTTTTAAACCCCAAAATACATTA